AGTTTAGATGATAAGTTGTACTAAATCGTAGTAGTACATGAAATCAAAGGCTGAAAAGTATGTTGGGAAACGGAAAAGGAGACCGAACTATTGGTGAAGCCATTTGAAGGTGAATCACATCGGTTGCATAAGAAAATATGTGAGGCAGCAATGAAGGTCAGGAAGGCAGTGAAAGAAAACAAGTGGAGATGTCTTTTTATATTTGAATCTACTTAGCGGTGAAGGAAAGCAGTGAAATTAAGAAACGGTTTTCCTAACCATGGACAATAACCTTTTTCCTCTTTATGTAAATTAATTATAAAAAGAATTGCATAAGAAAATATGTAAAAGAAAATAAATGGAAACTATGAGGGTGTTTGGAAAGTTTCAAAAAGTAAAATTTTTTCTTATAAATTTAAAAATTTGTTGAAAAAAATTTTAAAAATTAATTTGAAAAATAAATTACTCCGATTCTAGTCGAGAGAGGTTAGATTCCGTAAAAATACTCATTATTTTTTTATTGCCAATCGCAATTGACGATGGAATTGACTTGAAGTCGATGCAGGAGGGAGATGTCGTCGAAACTTCACCAAATTGCCATTGACAATGGACTTGACATGAATTCGATGCAGGAGAGAGGTGTCGACGAAACTTCACCAAATTGGAAGCAAGGGACGAAGATGATTTTGGTCATAACAGGGGCAAAATAGTCCTTGCGACAGAAAATCTTAACTTCTGTGTAGCTTTATCATTTTCCTGAATCAGCAACAACTGGGCCGCAGTTGGCCTCACTGCATTATTTTGCCCCAGCCAATAATTCAACGCCAACCCATCGGCATGATCATCTTATCCTATTGCTTTTGCTTCTGGGTTTGTAGGGCATAAGTTAAAAATTATTAATTAGAGTATTTTTAATTAATTTTACATAAATTTTTATCTAAAATTTATAATTTAATATATTTTTTAAGGTTAAATATTATATTTTGTTTTAATTTTATATTTTATATTAATTAAATTTAATATAAAAATTTATATAAAATTAATTAAAAATACTGCATCTACCTCCCTAAAGAAACCCATTCAGCTACTCTACCCTTTTGTCAAGAGAGCAAAGCCAAAGCCTCCTTCGATAGATACTGATAAAAGAGAGGAGGTGATCCCCTGATTTCGATCTTGGAGCACGATTCCGATCATGAACGACGGAGAAGATGCAGCTCGTCGCCGTAGTGCCGTCACAGACCACCGCAAGAAGCTTCTTCAGCACAAAGAGCTCGAATCCAGAGTTCGCACAGGTCTCCTCTCTTAGCTCCTTGACCTAATCCTAATCGCTGTGTCTCAGATCTTCACTCTTTTTCCTGATCTGTTTTCATTAAATTTCCATGACTTCTTCCTTTCAGGATTTAGGAATTTTGGTTTTCGTTTTAGCTCATTCTCGATTACATTTAATCGTGTTCTGTATA